AAACATGGCGGCTCAACATGGCAGCCTCCAAGGAAGGCGACCTGCAGTGTCAAGTGTAGATATATTCTAAGGTAACAAAAACATCATGATTCTTATTTTCAGTTGGTTATACACTCATGAAAACAACTTCAATTTAGGCATAAAAAGATGTTGGATGTGCTAAAAAAAAATGTTTTTTAGCATTTGCAGCACTAATTAATGGGTTAAAATAAACAACATGTAGCCTACAACCATGTTAAGAAAAAAAATTAAATAGAAACAAAAATAAAGTCAAACAGGAAAGAAAGTGTGCTGCTTGAAGAGAAGGAACATCAGAAAATATGTATAATAAGGGGAATCTAGTGCAGAAAACATGCATGGAAGTAAATTGTAAGCAAAAGAAATGTTTATTATTGCCATTTTCATCCATGAGGAAGGCAGAAATGGGTGGCTGTGGCTCAGGTGGTAGAGCGGGTCATCCACTCATGACAGGGTTGGCGGTTTGATCCCCTCCTCCTGTCCACAATTTGAAGTGTGCCTGTCCTTGCCTCTGGCAATGCCACTGGGCATTCCCAATTGCCTGGGTGAATAGGCATCCAGCATAAAAGCCTATGCCAAATCAAATATGCGGATCATCAAATCTCCATGCCGGGTTGGGCAGGGTCCGTTTTGCCAGCGAGAGGCAAACAGATGATCCGCTGTTTAACGGGGAGCAGCTAACACAAAAAGAAAGATAGCAGTTGATAAGATGGCTTTGGAAAAACTGAAGTGCCTTCAGAGCTAGGGTAGAAACTAACAAAAGACATTGACATTTTGAAAGTACCCGGTCGAAAAAATCCGACCCCCATCCAAGCAGAATGAAATTATCGGCTGGGCTTATTACAGGCCTCCAACTGCACTGTCAGTGCATTGGATTTATTTATTGCTGTCAGGATATAAAGAGAATTTCAACAAATATAACAAAAAATGCTGTTAAAATACATCACCTACCCTAGCTTTAAATAGGCAATAAACACCAAACAACCTCGAATCAATGTAGTCACAGGTGGAAGGTGTCAGTTATAACTAAACCTTACACTGTATGTGCCTTCTGGTGTTTCTAGTGTGAAAAGCAAAGATCTGGACCTTCAAATAATGATTCGCAGGGAAGGTGTCAGTTGTAACTAAACCTTACACTGTATGTGNNNNGGACCTTCAAATAATGATTCGCAGCAGGAAATATAGATCTTTTTTTCCACTAATAGGCTGCAGCCACATGTCCTGACAAGAGTACGCTGATAATGATGTTCAGCAGGTGTTTCCGCTTCAACTAATTACACCTAATCACACCTTCATGTGACCTTTACCTCTTAGCAGTTGAAAAACAACTATTATAATAAACTCAATGTCACCTGCTCATTAGAAATGAGTACAATGCAACAGCAAAAGCCTCGTTCTCGTTCTCCAATCTGCTCCTGGTCCATGTATGTTTAAGAAGTCGTGACTTATTTGATTTGAAGTGTTGAATTTGTGATCTTATTTTTCTCTCTTGCCTGCAAGGTGAGATGAAAAAAGTGTCAAGGCAAATCAAGAGGTTTTCTTGTATCATCTGCCATTTTCTTGAAACCACCAAATCATCTTGTTCATCAAACACGAGCCCTGTTTGAAAATAATCTCACTTTTCAATAGAAATAAGATTTTAAGACTCAAGGATCAACACACAATTAAACCCTTTAATTAAACGGGTACTTTGCTAGATTTACGGCACCAAACTGTGTAAACATGAAGAACAGCACTTGTTCTCCTCCACGCGGATAAATCAGTGTTCCCCCTCGCAGCTT